ATAACTGTTCTATTCTTTTCAGGTCTCTCCGCGCGTATTTATGATGCCAGTTCACGCTTAGTATTCTAGTCGAACTCTTGAGATATTGAGGACCTTCTTTTGCTGATAAAGCCTATGCTTGATGTCTGGTGGAGACGAAGCTTTAAGAGTCCTCTCCTGCTGAATGTTCAGGTATGCCCCGGGTCGTACAATCAGTATGTGTGTCTCTACTTCAAGAGCGTCCCTCCCTGCTGATTGTTCAGAGGTTAATCGCTATGGATGTCCTCTAACTTAAAGAGTCTCTCCTGCTGATGTTCAGTGGTATATCAGTAGCAGTGTCTCTACTTTAAGGTCACCCTGCTGATGTATCAGTGTATTCAGATATGTGTGTCTCTCTTAAAGAGTCCTCTCCTGCTGATGTTCAGGTGTATATCAGTAATGTACGTGTTCTGACTTTAAAGAGTCCCTCCTGCTGAATGTCCAGGGTATCTCAGATATGTAGTGTCTCTACTTTCGAAAGACGTCCTCTCCTGCCATGTCAGCTCTAATATCAGTAATAGCATGTTCTATCTTAAAGTCCTCTCCTGCACGGGGGCGGGACGGGGGGCGGGGGGGGGTGATCTGTTCAGGGTGTATATCGAGTATGCGTTCTCGGACTTTTAAAGGTGCTCTCCTGCTGAAGTTCAGGTGTAATCAGTAGTATGTGTCTGCTACTTTAAATACTGCTCGTCCATGCCATGTCGGTGTAATCAGCTATGAGTGTACTTACTTAAAGTCCTCTCCCTGCTGATGTTCAGGTGTATATCATAGGTAGTGTCTCTACTTTAAAGAGTCCTCTCCTGCTGTTAGGTGTATATCAAGTATGAGTGTCTCTATTAAGAGTTCCTCTCCTGCTAATGTCAGGTGTATATAGATATGTAGTGGGTCTGTACTTAAAGAGTCCTCTCTCCTGCTGATGGTTCAGGTGTAATATCAAGTATTAGTGTCGGGGGAGAACCAGGATTAGCCATGCACAAAAACCTATTATAATAACACAGTAGAGGAAAGGGAAAACTCCAAAAGCATAATATAGGCCTCTTCTTAACCTCTTTGAAACGTCCTCATTCGGAGTTGAGCCTGAAAGAAACACGTGCAGGTTTTCACTCCTAGAGTTTCAGTTTCCATGAGTCACGTTGTGTTTTAGATAAATAAATACTGAGGGTATTCAGCTGCTTTCAAAACTACTGTGAGTAAAAACTTAGCTGTGTTAAGTGTACAGACACAAAATCACGAGCTCAATCGGAGAGGAGGCTGAGCAACCGGCGCAATCAGTCCGTTGAGAGTTATTTCAGACTGGTATTTAAAAGCAGACACCTTATTTTCCTTCAGATCAACAGCTGTGTCCTTCAATCACGTGAGTTTCAAATGAACACTCACTGCCAGGTCCACAGGTATTATACGTACTACAGAAACATAAACCTGTGTTAGGTAGAAGTGGAGACAGCTGATAAGACGAAAACGACCATACATCCTGTATTTGAACATTCCTGAAGTGGTTAATGGACCCAGCGGCTTCTGAACCTATTCAAGGCTGTTTTCGTCCCACTCCTTCTTTTTTTTTTACCTGGCCTGTCCATTTTCCCTGTCTGTGTTTTTGTTGTTCCTTCCCCTGTAACACCTGGCGGAAAACGCTGTAGGGGGAAACAAACCGCTGCCAGCTTTCAACACATTCCCGGATCCGAATGCCTGCACAGCCGCACATTGTGGCATTCCTTCATTTAAAGGGTGCCAGCATCTTTTTGTCTCTCAAACACATGTAATGACTCTTTGTAAACATGTGGGGAGCTTTTCAGGCTGTGGTTTACACAATTTTAAGGTGACTTTCATGCTGAATTAACCTAAAATTGAAAGGGATACCCTTAAAGTATTAAAGTACCTTCCACAATGTATGATTTACAAATAATACTGATGGGGATTAAATAAATAGCGTTGCCACATAATGTTAAAGGTCGCCTTGAACCATATCCCAAACAGAAACTTTGAGTTAAAATGAAGCCAAGTGAGAATCTGTGTGTTTCCATGGCACACACAAGTTGACTCCATGGTGGCAAAAACTCTGATTAACATGAACAAAACATGGAAGTTTCTTAAACCCTAAATTGGTATCAATGGCTAAAACTGGGTTTACTCCAATGGTGGCAAAAGAAATCGATTCTATAGAAGTTTATGAAAATTGCATCTTCAGACCGGTTTTATTAACTTAGTAAGACCTTCGTAGCTCAATACCCCACAGTAAATACTTATTAAAAGCCTACATGAAAAATAGCAATGGGAGAGTTTATTAAACCTACACCTAAACTTTGTATCAAGCGCTAACACAAGTTTGACTCCATTGGTGCAAACGCTTGCTTGGTAGAATGTACCTTCCGAGTCAGTTGCTTCAGAAGTGAGGCAGAATCCTTCCTACGATGCGAAAACGAAAACGGTGGACAGGCTACAAGTGGTGCGTGCATAATGCCGAGTCCCCGCTAAAGGAGCACGATTTCCAGCAAGATTGTTTAAATTGCGTCGTGCGCAAGCATGTCGCGGATGTTAGAACGCGGAGCTCACCATGTGCAGCCCGCAAATTTATCGCTACGAACGTACGCTGGCCGGTAAAGAATTGAAGGTAGCTGGGACATTGGAACAGTCCTTCTGCGGCACTCGATGACGTAGTATGTTGAAATAGTGGGCTCGGAGCAGCCTGTCGCTCGGCATTAGAACAACACCACAGTTGTGAAGATGGCTATGAATTGGCCTCCTTTTCAGGGGAGATGTATTACCTCAGTAAGGATCAAAATACTCGTGAAGGCCACATACAAATATAGACACCAATAAGCAAGGCCTTAGATCTGTGATGTTTTCCATTGGCAACCAAGGCACCGTCGACCTGGATGGAAAATAAATCTTATTGTGAGAAGTCTATGACAAAATGGCCTCATTTCGCTGAGTTTCATAACCTTAGGAACTATCCCTAATACGGCCATTCACACCAAGGTACCTGTGCCGTACTTGTTTAACTGAAGAGCCGATCGCGCTCACACCGGTAGTTCTCTGAGGGAGAAGTTGGCAAATGAAGCCGCTGAGTCCTTCTTCTGCTTTGTTTACTGGCAGCCGCACCACCTTCACAGGCGTATTACTGCACCCGAATTTTCGACTGAAGCCTTCCAAGTAAATCGCCAGAACGCCGACACCTCCTCATCTCCACCGCTCCCATGTTTTCTTTTGTGTTGCCATAAGTTATTCTCTCTCCGTTGGTGCGCGGGGCTAATGCTAATAATGCTAATGCCAGCAAATACAATGGCGGCTTCACAAAACCTTTCCGAGTTTTACGGGGCGTGGTTTGCAATTCGCCCAGCCAATCAGAAATTGGAACTTTTTTCTCCCCAGGAAAGTACCTGCTCTCTAGCAGGGACTGAAAAGGGGGGAAAAGTTCTCATGAACTAAGTTCTCTTTTTGGCGGGAACGCAAAATCCCAGGAACTAAACGGAAAAAGTACTCCGGTGTGAAAGCGCCTATTATTTTTGTAAAAAATCCAACACCTTTTTAATTTAACGTCCATTAATGTATTGGTTATTTTTTGTACAGTTATGGTGACACTCTCCACCTTACTTGATTTCCCCAAAAGATATGTTTGATAGCACTATTTTTATTTTCTATGGTTATATTTTCTATAAGCAAGATAATATCATTATTGTGAATTGTTTTGGACACCAAAAATATAAAATAATGACATGATTTTTCTGAAATATCCCACTAAATGCTGCAGCTTTTAGAGAGAATGCTATTGTGATATGAGGGAATACCACACAGTCTTTCTTCTGGGATATGGTTTTGTTTAACTTCACATTTTGCTCTCTTCACTCCCACGTTTTATTTTCACCACAGCGGGTCCAGGGGTGTCTTCAATGTTATTTCTTCAGTCACCACAGGTCAATTTTCACCTTTTTTTGATTTCTTTACTTCCAAAACTCTTAACTTTACTGTTTTTATTCCAGCCTCGTCGTTGCTGAATATTCATACTGTATTTTTTGTTCCTTTTCCACACAAAGCAGAAAGCCGAGTATGACTGTCTCCTCTTCACCCCCGACATGAAGGAGCGGATACGACAGTCCGTCTGTCCGAGTGACCTCATGGTCTTCACCCCTCCCTCTAATGTGTAGCAGAGATTTCCTTTACATTTTTATTTGTTACATATGTTAACCAATTGAAGCACCAAAGAGTTTCTGATTCGTGTTTTTTGTCTTTTTATAAATAAATATTTTGTTACAACCAGGAAATGACTCGATGATATTTTTTTAATGAATTGCCTGTGGATGGTGCCGGTACAGAACAGTGAGTTTTATGCTGCTGTCTTCAGGTTTCTCTGCTGCAGCTCCAGCTTCCTCTACCTGTAACAATAGAGAACTAAACTGAATACATAGATGTTATATATTATTTCTGTGTACTCTCACTGTTAGGGAATCTTTGCTTAGGTATGCAACCTTTGACACAGCTCATCATTTTCTCTCTTTGCTGTCTCCTTTCCCATGGCATAGTTCTACGGCCTTGGGTGTTGCTGCTATCTCTCTTAAGGAGGGGCAGCTGGGCGCATTGTTGCCAGCTTATGACCGAGCACAAGCTGACATGAGATAGTTTATTTTTCAGAGACATCTAGAAGCCCTTCTTTTTAGGGACGTAGGTTCCCTGGCGCACATTATGTTCTATGGACGACAGCTCTTGTTAGATTCAGGGTCCTCAGCTGTTTAGTCTATCTATTGAAGAATGTTGATTATTACACTCTGAACTAGTTCAAACCTGGAGCTACAGAAGAGTTCTTCAGAATTGATTGTGGCATCTCAACCGAACCGTGTGGTCAGACCCGTGACATGTCTTGTGAATTCTCCGGCCGAAGCTCCAGATAAACCGTCAGTGTTTGCCGTCAAAGCTCCAGCTCTCCTCGTGTCTCTCTTTCGGCCCGTCCACACTACAGCCTCAAAAAAAGCTTGCCGGCGGGCGTGTCTGAAGCTCGACCAACAACCAATCACATGAATCTCCCGCCCCTGACACACAAGCAGCGGTTTGATTGGCTAGAGCTTGTACTGGCATATGATTTGATTGGCTGACGCTTCCACCGAAAGCTTCAGAAGCTTCAAAAGTTGAACATTGCTCAACTTTTGCAGCCTGAAACGCCAGGAAAGCTCCGCTCTGCTACCCACAATTCAGTTCGGCGAAAAGCGAGGCAACGTGACGTCACCCCATTCAAAGTGAATGGGCAGACGCGTTGGAAACCGTTTTTGAAGCTGTCGAAGCTGTAGTGTGGACGGGCCGTTTGAGTCCTGACTCCCATTGCTTCAGAAGTTTCCCCCACACTTACCTTCCTAGCGTGTGTTTTCTTGTCTCTTATTGCTGTCGCTGCTCTGACTCCAGAATTTCCCTATGGGGATCAAAGCATTTTTGATCTTTTAGATGTATTTTCCACTCAAGACAATTTCTACAACAAATTTGAGGGTAAAGAAATCCAAAACTGGTCCATGCAGATAAGAACATTGTCCTTTGGTAGGAACAAAATCACTGGTGATACATATAACCCAATACATTTAGATATCTACTACATAATACTCTTAACTGGTGCAACAACACCAAACTATTGTCAGATGTGAACCACTAGCAGAGTACTACCTGGCTCTCTGTCGGGCCTGGGCCTCAGCGATGTGTCTCTGGGAGTCCTGCCGGAGCTTCTCGTCCTTCATGTTTCTGGACACTAACTGGTAATGTTCAAAAGCCGGGAAGAAGAAGTGGTTGAAGAATTGATGGATCGTCTGATTCCAGATCTCCACCTCATGGTCTTGGGCTCTCACCCCTCTGGTTTGAACAACCTTTCCTCCATCTCTTTGCCCTAGAGGTAATGTATGTAAAGTCTGTATAAGTACAAACATATCAAACATTATTTCAAAGAATTAGAAACTAAAAACAAGGAAAACCTACCTGCAGACTGAGGTCTCTCTCTGACTTTAGCCCTGACCTGTTGTTGACTCTCCATGTCTTGAGCATTGGATGTTTCTGCCTTGTCACTTTTCTTTGATCAGAAGTAAATGCAATTATTTGTTATTAAAGATTTCAGCAAAGTCACATAGCCAGGCTCACAGCAGTACATGCCATTTCTATTAACAGTAGGGGTGCGACAATACTGAAATGAATAGTGAATATTGGAATTGTTTTTACTTTTCACATCAAGGTGGCTCATGAATGTATAAAAAAAGTCATAACATAGTGTATCGAAGAATTCTGAAAAACCTCCACCTCAGGTAGATCGCTCCTGGCTTTGGTTTCAGCGCTGGATGGCGAAACCTGCTGACACTTCACTTCAGCAGAGCCCAGAAGTACCTCAAAAAACTCCAGGAATGTAATCTGAAAAACAAGGAGTGGGGATAAGAAAAAACGATAAGGAGAGAGGGGAAGAATTAACAGCGGGAATGAGCAGAGAAATAATGAATGAGTCCACAGGTGTTCCCAGGCAGACCTCCAGATCCAGACAGGCGGACGTGTTGCTGGGGTCCTGGCTCTCTGCAGTGATGATCTGCAGCAATCTGGCTGTGCTCAGGTTACTGTCCAGCAGATGGAGATCCTGCCAGGGGTTTACAATAAATCAACACAATGTCTTTAACAATGATGCATGGTTCAAAAAGAACGTTTTCTATTCATGGGATAGAAGCAACCTCAAAATAAACATGTATTTTGTTAAAGCTTGTAACACAAAAGATAATTGTCACCCATTCTGTTCACCTGAAGTTTCCCTCATAAAGTTAGAAAATGAAAAGTAAATAACAAGAACCGGTACATTTGTATGGTAGTTTTTGTGTTGCAGTGTGTTGCACCTTGAACATCCACAGGAGGTGTCGGCAGGTCATGGTCCGGTCCTCTCTGGGCGCTGCAATGACTCTGCAGTAATCCTGATAGACTTCCCAGCACCTCTCTAAGTAACTCACAGCCACCTCTGCACAGTCTGGGTGCCTAAACATGAAGCCTGGATCAACACAGCTAGAGTTAATAAGGACAGACATTACTGCATAATATAGAGCTAAGCAAAGCTGAATTGGGAACTTGAAGACTGATAGTAACCTGATAGACAAAAAACTGTTCTAATGTTGTGGTAAATCATTTTGCAGGAGGTCCGACCTTCTACCATCTGATACGTGTGTACATGAGCCTTCAATATAATATTGGTTTCACCTTTTACATTACTCGCATTAGGAATGATGTTGTCTGTCATCAGTTTGGAAAAGCAGTCTGCCAGAAGGTGGTTTTGTGACCTGTGAAAAGATGAAGCAGAACTGATTCTCATCTCTGAAACTCAAAATTAGTTATAAAGGGAAAAAAAGTTTGTATTTAAATGTGTCCTTGGGTTAGTCGTTGCTGTGGTAGTTATTATTTGTCTTAGTTTGGTCTAATTTGTATTAGCAACTCTAACATCATTGAGCTAAGTTATAGTTAGGGTTACAAAAGGCTTACAAAACAAAGCTGTTGATGTTTAGCAGCTCAAATGTTTACCATGTTCACCAACTTAGACAAGTATGTGTTATAATAAATAGTTGCTAACATTATTATTTCAGAATGCTGAGAGAAGTTTTTCTGAATTCAGATACTTCTAAATGTTGCAAGGGTCTCTCACATGCATGAAGTAAATGTGCTGCTGCTAAAGCTGACAGTTTTTTAGATAAAAAGTTATTAATAAAGAAATAATTTCATCCATTGAAGACAATGTGTTAGAAGTCCTTCCTTACACCACGTCCTTATGGTAGATGTGATACGCCACAACCACTAGACAGCTGAGGGTCCTGCGCAGAAGCATGGGAGTGAAAGGAGAGTGGATCTCTGCGGATGTCTCATCCCCTGAGACACAGAGTAAAAAAAGTTAAACACAAAAAATTGTAATTGTAAAGGTACCAATGCTAGTCACTGTGAGATGTTACCTCTGATGAAATTGTCTATCTGTGTGAGAGTGATGCTGTGATGGTGGACGTTGCAGTCTTTGAGCAGGCGCCACAGCTGCAGGCGGGACATCAGGAAGCTGTTATCTGGGGAGGGGGCATGGCCCAGTCGGCTGTAGAAACTATAGATGGACCTCAGCTCTCTGGCCTTCCTCAGCACCACACACTCCACCTGTTACACACGAGCCACATGTCAGGGTAAACCACGAGGACGTGTGGAGATGTTCAAAGTGTTGATGTGTGCAGCGGCTCCTGACCTCTTTGCGCTCGGTGTCTCGATTTCTCTCAGGGATTTTCTCCAGAAGACATTCAATGTTTAGAGCCATGTCGGGCCCTAAGATAGATGAGCCTGGGAGAAGATACAATAATGTCAGGGCTTGTAGGGGAGGATTTAAGAGTGTAACACCAATAATTATTTCCTTGATGGCATAGGGACTCTGTCTGCTGTTTTACCAGGCCGAGAAGTGGGAGCTTTGTTTCCGTTCAGGTTGTTTGTCTTCATCTCATCGTGGACAAACTCTCCTTCAAAAACATGTCCGTCCTCAAAAGTGAATTTTCCCTATGAAGCATACAGTCACTGTTCAAAGTATATACATAGATGTGTACCATAAATGCCTGTGAGGGTGAAATGGATGCTAGATCACATATTTTGAAAGAACTTATAAAACATTAAATAAAAATGTGTTGTACTTCCAAGCATCTTTTTTATTTATTTCGGAGACATACAGTATGTGCATCCACTGTGAGAGGCAATTCTGTAACATGTATTTACCTTCCCATGTTTCTTATTATTCCTCCATTCTCCTTCGTATATCGCACCCCCAGCGTAGTAAAAGGTTCCCTGCCCGTGCCTCTGACCCTGAACGAAATCTCCTGTGTACTGATTTCTCTGGGAATACTGAGACCCATCCGCTCGCCTCAGGATCCAGACATGCGTGCCTTTCCCATGCTACAAAAACATTAGCAGGATTACTTTTTTAGGAAGTGAAAAAAAAGGTATTGTACTGAAATGTGTGCAATATGGATTTGTTATTGTGGTGTGCTGTCATACCTGGACTCCATTCTGCCACATCCCAACATACTGCTGTCCCAGTTTGAGCCACCTCATGGAGCCCTCTCCATGTCTCAGGTTGTTCTTCCACTCCCCAGAGTAAGTGTTACCAGAGGGGTAGCTGTAAAAACACAGATATTATCTTTTCGAAGTTTAGATGTGACTGTGGTAAATATGAAACCCTGTTCTGCATACATACCATCTTGTTCCCCATCCCTCTCTGTTGTTCTTCACCCAATCTCCTTTGTACCAAGATGTCTTCTTATCCTGTTTAAAATACACTACACCCTAACAAAAAGAGAACCAATCACAGAGGAGAAATCTTAAGAGACTATATCTGATTTGAGGAAGTGGATCATACCTTTCCGTGCCTCTTGCCCTGATCCCACTGCCCGGTGTACGACACACCATTGTCTGCACATCGGTAGGTTCCAGTGCCATGTCGTATAGCATTGAGTACTTCCCCCTCATAGGAGCTGGCATCCGGCCAGGTGAAGGTGCCCCGTCCCACCAGCATGTTGCAGACAAATTCTCCCTTTTGGATTTTAAATATAGATGAAAAAAATTGATTATCCCCTGTCAAACTCCTTATTTTATCACATTATAGTGTGTGCTCCCATACTCACTTTCAATTAAGTTGGTATGATCATTGCATATGAATCGCTCAAGAAATGAAAGGTCATTACAGTTATTATCTTTTTTTATTCTACCTTACCTACCTCATATTTTAATCCACCTGCCTGTGTAAAGACACCAGGTCCCTCCATAAGTCCCTTGGAAAACATCCCCTTGAGTAGAACAAAAATACTTTGTTAATTATAATAATTGTTATATTAACTTGTGGAAATTGGAGCATAGGACATTACTATACATTTTCATAAATATAGATTTGACATCACGAGTGACAACTAAAACTAAAAACAACAACTTTCATATATTTGCAGTGGTTTTAATAGTTAACATTTTTGATGGACAACCCATGCATGTTAAACAATAGGCTGAAGCATACATTGACTGTGCTGTAACAGTATTACGTGCACTGCTTTTGCTTTAATATACTTTAGGAAGCTTTGTTTACCAAATGTAATTGATCATTTGCACTGTCCCTTTCTCTGAAATACACTGAATTGAAAATGAATAAATGTGATGTCCTTTGAAACAGTACCTTGTACACGTGGCCTCCTTCAAAACAGGCAACCCCTTCTCCATGAAACAGGCCTTCACAGGTTTCCCCTTCATATCTGTCAATAACAACATGCTAGAAATGAATTCCTACCTGGATTTAGACAACAAATGATAAGCACAATAAGTGCACTAAATAGTAATAATGTAATGACTGGTATAAGAGACGATTTACCTTTGTACAGTTAAGTTAAAAAAGGTGGGAAGTTCATAAAAATCATTATCTTGGAGGTCCACATCCGCTGAATTCACGGTTAAAACAGGAGGACAGCTCACTACTTTCCTTATATGCGTCTCTTCCGCTGTATGAGGTAGGTCTGAGTTTCCGCACGTATTTTCCGTTTTGTTTTTTAACGTAGTTTTAGTTTTATTTTCTTTCCCTTGTTTCATTTTGCGCTGTTTATTTACCTGTCTGTCGCGAAAGCTAGGATCCTCACCATGGCAACAGAAACGAACGCTCACAACTACGGAAACCGATTTCAGTCAAAAAGGCAAAAACCTAGTACAACCTATGAGTACAACCCGCAATTAAACAAAGCAAATTACATAAGTAGATGTGGAAGAAGTACTTAAATATTGTACTTGAGTAAAAGTAGAAGTACCAGGGTATAAGAATAGTCTGTTACAAGTAAGGAGTAGAAGTACAGAGTAGCAAAACATTTCGATACTCAAATAAATTATAATAAATTAAGTACAATGTCCCTCAAAATGGTACTTAAGTACAGTACATCTACTTAGTTACTTTACACCACTGAACATAAGAGCCATATCTTGTTTATTTACCCCATGAATTGGGTGTTTATTTAAATAAAATCAGAACACAACAGGTATAAAAAAACAAAAACACTAAACAACAAAATACAAGAATACAGTATCTATGGTTTGCACTTGTGTGAATAGGTGCAGGGGTGATGTTTAACAGAAATGATCTGTATCTAGTTATTTTAAGCCACTGTTGATTCCTGGACAGTCTTGGTCAGTCTTGTGAGATCATGTCCAGGTTGGCGAGGTGTCTCATGGTGGGCCTGCCGTGAGGACAGTTCCAGGGTTGCTCGATCTCCCCCATGTGAATCAGAAGCTTCTTCATCTCACTGACGCTCAGAGCAGTGCCGATCATCACCTGAATATAGACACAAACAAAACAATAGACAATGGGTCAGGAAAATATAACTCTTATTCAATTAGTCTATCAGAACTGACTAACAAGTCATATTCTAGATAGATGTATAGGTTTTATACTATTAGATTTTTCATGTACCCTTTTCTGTATATCAAACACCTTGGAGATGTTCAAAAGTTTCAAGAAATATGTACACTTTATGGGTCTGTGATATTGATATTTTAAAAATGAACTATTTATATCATGTTAATAATACATAGGATAATGTGTAATTAATCCAGCGCCTCTGAAAAATAATTTCCGTTTTGTTTCTTTATCACTTTTTAATAGTACAAGGAATGGCTACTGGAAACAGAAAAAAGGCAAAAACACATTATCCTTTCTAAAGTGATAGGTAGAAAAAGTTGGTTGTAGGGGATGACTGTTGACCCTAATCCAAAGCCAAAACCTGGTTTGTGTAAATATCTGTAAATACTTAAAAGTATCTGTTTATTATTAGTATGAACATACAGATTTCCGACAAGCTCGGGAGGCAAACATCTGCCTGACGCGGGACGGTCGACACATGACCCCCGGGCTGTCACTCAGCATGAAGATCAGCTCTTCAATGTCGGGGGGGCCAAAAGTCCAGTTTTTACTGGTGGGCAGAGATACCAGCTTTACCCTCTCCATGACCTGAGCTGCAGACACGATAGAAACATGCTGGTTTAGTATTTGTAATGATACTTAATAGTTGTGAACCTGAGATAAATGTGTAAACCCTTTTAATTGAAGGTAAATGTTCATACCCTCCTCATCCACAAGAAACTCAAAGCCATTCTTCCTGAAAATCTCTATGTTCTCCATGAGCACATTTTCACTGATAGCAGTTAGGTGAAGCTTCTGAGGGCTGCAAACATAAATGAAACAAACATATAGATTAGTAAAAACTGGATTTATAAAAATAACACAAGGCAGAAGCCATCAATAGTCAGTTTCTTACACTATGAGCTTCTGTCCTTGGAGAACATTGTGTTGCTGCAGCATCTCAAAGTTGTATTTCTCATCTGATGCATGCTGGTCAATCATGAAGATGTCCGAGTTCAGCTTGGCGATAATGAAGCCCAGGTTGAACTGGCCGATGATCTCCATTTCCTTAAACATGTCTTTACTGAAGAGAGGAAAGAAAAAGTGTCAAGTTGAAGCAATCACGCTTTAATATTGGCAATCTGCAAAATCTATTGGATTAAAATCCCACCTGATCTCTTTCTTCAGCTCTTCCTCTGCACTGTTGTTCTCTCCGGGGTTGATCTTGGCCCTGAAGCGTCGACAGAGCAGCTCATCATCATCATCCTTCTGTCTCTGCAGATCCTGTATCCTCTTCACCTTCCCTGCCAGATCTTGTAAAGAAAACTGGAGGTTCACCGTCCTCTTCTGTAGGCGCACTGGAGCATCCACCGTCGAGGAAGATTTCGAAGAAGTGTTGGATTCATGTTTTGTTGGTGAATGTGGTTTCTCTTTCCTGGCCCTCTTAGCATCGGGGCTCACAGGACAGTCCTCATTGGAAGTGTGTGGCTCAGGAACAGTTTGAGTATTATCTGACTCTTCTTCTTCTTCTTTAACACAGTCAGTGTCTGGCTCCGAAGATCTGAACTCCAGTCCAGAAACCTCAATATCTGGTGATGGCACAGTGACAGCGCTGTCTTTTTTAGTATCGGCGTCACTGCATGACGCTTTTCCGTACCTGAACCCATCGAGCACTGACTTTCCCACCGGGGAGTATTCAGCTAAATCTCTTGTGGCTTTCAAAGGAGATCTTACACTGGAGTTGCACGGAGGAGATTTGACGGTGTCCTTGAAAAACGTCTGCAGTGTTTTTTGTGTCGGGCCACTGTTGGCTGCTTTTGCCACGCTTGACTTGTTCCCATGATTTGAGCTGTGACTACTTGAAAAAGCAGCTTTTAGAGCGGCTAAGTTTACAGATGACTTTGGACGTCGTGTCACATGTTCCTTTTCTTCTGCAGATTGTTGCATTTTCCCATTAGAGTTGACAACCTGACTGATTCCAGACGCAGACTTTGTATCTAGAAACAGAAACGCAGTCAATAAAAGCACTGGAAAATCTCTCTTTGTGACACAACTTAACTATTATATCAATATTTATTATTAGAGATGTCCCGATCCGATCACGTGATCGGGGATCGGAGCCGATCACGTGATTTTCAAAAGATCGGAATCGGGAGAAAAAAATCGGGGATCGGGATTTTTAATTTTTTTTGTATTCAATGTTACAAAACAAAAATGACCATGTTCAAGTCTTAAAGTCATCCTGAGGCCTTAGTTTTGGTTTCAAATTACACAACATCATGTATGTGTTGCTTCTTTGGGGCTTGTTCTCATAGACCTGGTTGCTTATTTCTCTCAAATCTGGCAACAGAGTGGGCAGGGCGCAGTGTCTAATTGTAGCAGTAAGCTAACGAGTACTGATAAGCTTTATTTTGTTTTGATCCAATGCTGCACAACTGAACTGATCCAATGCTGCTGTGAAAGAAAGAAGCTATATCCATGTTGGATAGAATATCCAATTTAAACAAAAAAATAACCTTAAGGGACAACTTGAATGCTTTTTTTCTTTTTTTTTCTCTTAATGCATTGCATAAAGATCGGATCGGGAAAAATCGGTATCGGCAAAATCAAATCAAATGATCGGAATCGGATCGGGAGCAAAAAAAGGTGATCGGGACATCCCTATTTATTATGTTTCGTTATGCAGGCTAAATGTGTGTTCTTACTCATGCTTGGTTTCAGCGTGTAGTTCAGGCTGATCTTATTGACTCCCGACTCGTACATGTTGACGAGAGAGGTCTTGAGAATAGCCAGCAAGAGTTTCTCCTCCTGAAGGAAAATCTGTCGTTTGTCTGGGGTTACGTTCACGTCCACACACTCTGAAATAAAACCACAAAAACAAATTTAGAACAGATAGTAGCCACTGGGATTCAGATATAACTATTCAGCTGACCTACCTGAGGCAACAGCTATGTTCAGGGCAACAAAGGGATATTGATGTCTGTTGTACATGTGATACACTTCATTTACAAGTTTGGTCACCTGCAAGAAAAACAAAAGGTTAGAGGTGAGGCTAAAATGTAACAAGTAACAAAAAGTATATCATTATTGGAAAAGTTATACTTTTCTGACAAATATTGTACATCAATATTATATAAATGGCCTAATATCTGCTCACAACTATATTATGATGCGTTCGAAACTAGGGATGCACTATCGGGCAATACAGATAACAGACTTGCTTCTCATAGATGTTAATGCTAATAATTAAACATTTGTTACCTAAAAATAAGTTAGTAACCTCTATGCAAATTGCAATCATGTTTTACTTCTCTGAAACTGCCTACACTATCAGCTCTTTAGTCATTATAAAAATAATACATAATAATTTTAGGACCTGAAACATATAGTGTGCATCACCATTTTAATCCATTATGGCATATTTGAATACTGCTAATAAATGCTAAATAGGGGGACTTAAAGTTGAATTACCTTCACAGGATCACACGGCCGGTTGTTAACATAAAAGAACTGCCTGTCTGTTGAACTCCTCCCAGCACCATGGTCTGCTCGGGTCACAAACCCTGTCATGCTGCCAAAACAAAGTATTAAAGAAAGATAAATAAACTACTTTGTTTGCAGATAAGGCATGCACAGGACTTGCATGCAATGATATCACTCACGTAAACAGCTGTTTGGGTAGATCTGCAACTGTCAGTCCATATTCTTCAATCACATTTTCTGCTGGAGACACTTGCTGAAAAGGCAGAATACTCTGTAGCTACACACAGGGAAACATGAAACGATTTAGCAAAACAAATAAGGCCAATTCCACAAAACTATTTGGATATATACTTCAATTGCACAGCTCCACAAAAAGCTGGAAAGATATGTTAATTATCTTGATTTAGGGCAGTGTTCGCACCTGTTTTGGTCCGAATATGGCCCCTATGTTGTCTCTCATGCTCTGGGAGCCACTGGTGCTGAGGACGGTGCTGCGCTTCGCCTGCCCGTTCTGGTTGGAGCAGGTGATCCGCACTCCTGTAGAGATGATACAGTAGGACTGCAGGATGTGTATCATTTTGGCATACTCCTGAAAATACAAAACAAGGACATATTGGTGATATAGATAATGACAATGGGAATTGAATTACCTGATGATAGCTCAAAACAAATAAAGTTAAAGACATATAAGAAAAATATGATTCCAAGTTGTATTATGTTCCTCCGGGTTTCAGTTTTTACAGTGTTACATTTCTGACAACCATTTTCATTCTTTACATGTTTTTGTATCCACCTGTTCTCTATTTAGGTCCATGTTTGTTGTGGATTCCATGCCATGTTTCCCAAGGACTAGAAACTTGTTTTAAAGCCACGCACTGTGTAGTGTTTATATTGTATTAGAAATGTGGTATAATCATTTAAAAAGTCTGAATTGCAATTAAAATAGTCTTCAAGGTGGTGCTGGTAAGATGCTCAGACATCCAGGGCTTGCTGATGTCTTTTACATTTACAGTCACAAAGTATAGAGCTGCATGTACCACCTTTATTATCCTTGTCAAATAACCTTTAAGAAAGATGCTGGAAATGTTAACCAGATGACTTTCCACCAAATAAGGAATGCACTTTTTCAGTTATTGATTAAACAGAATTGTATTTTGTTACTGTTATTACATGTCCCTTGTTAGATGCCTTTATCCAAAGCTACTTACATACTCAATACTGTGGACAATCCCCACAGGAGCAACTTGGGGTGAAGTGTCTCAGGGACACAACGACATGCTGACTGCAGTGGGGTTTGAACCTGTGACCCCCTGATCTGAACACCAACGCACAACCCACTGCGCCACACACTTCCGTAACCCTGTTATGGATAACTTATCCCAATATAAAGTAATTGCAAAACAATTGTATATAACATTTATGGAAAACAACAGCTGCCTATGATGTAGGAAAAACTGTTGCTTAGACACATGACAAGGACTTTCATAAAATGAATGTGATTTGTAGTGACATAGTAGATATAAAGATGCAGACATATAAGACCTCTCCTCTGATGACTGACCTTCTTAATGTTGCGTTGGAACTCCTTGTAGCGAACAGGCAGGGTGTTGAAGAGCTGCTGCAGGCTGACGGTGGTGCCTTGCTGCCGGGGTTGAGGGGACTGCTGCACCAGGTGGCCTTTGTGGTCAAACACCAGCTTGGTGCCCACCTGAGTGGATTCATGGCACGTCACCACACTCAGGCCGCTAGAGCAGGGGGTCGGAGGAAAGTTTATATGATGGAGAGATGGTCAAACAGGTGTATGTGCCGAATGAATGTTGCAGTTTTACCTCAGAGCACATAAAGAGCTGAGGGCTTCACCTCTGAAGCCAAATGTTTCCACATGGATGAGATCGGAGAAATCCTTCAGCTTAGACGTGTGATGTTTTAATGCTGCGGAACAGATGGGAGAGGTTGCACTTGAGCAAACATATTAGGCTTTGACTCACAGGGTGGAGATAAACAAAGCTGACACTTACTCAGTCCTTCAAAGTTTGCCTCATCTACTCCTTTGCCATTGTCTGACACTTCCACTAGTTCAGCTCCACACTCCTTCAGCCTGACATCTAGAACATGCAATGGAAATTGGAATGATTTGTTGTCTATATTTTTGCTAAATATATGTGATACCTTGACATTTTGACCATAACCATTAACTTTTTTTTTACCAGAACCATTAACTTGTCATTATTAACAACGTTAGCTCTCTTAAACAGCACAACAAAAAGGGCCACCCCAGAATTGTGTCAGCTTTTTAAGAAAATACATATAAAAGAATGTGCATCAATTCTTACCAACATTGGTGGCCCCTGCATCGATGCTGTTTTCCACCAGCTCTTTGACAGCAGTGGCCAAAGTCAGAACCACCTGTCCTGAGCAGATCTGATGCACTGACTGCTTGTCAATGGCCTTGATGGCTCCTGCAGGTTCAGAGGTGCTGAGAAGAAAACAATCACACAGTGACAATGATGTAACTAAATGCATACTGCAGCAACTGATGCATGTTCAAAAAAGACAATCAAACATGTTAAAAGCTGCTTAGCCCCCTGTGGTCTGTTATCTCTGGTGAATACATCGGGAATGTGGGACTTTCAAGTGAACTTACTATAAAACATACAGTTTAACTGCATTATAGACTAGTTCTACCGTTTACTGCAATGCCGAATTGTGCAGTATATACGTTTTATTCATGCATATGTATTTATTTGCCCATTTGTTTTATTGCATGTAAATAGACACACAAATAGAAATAAATTGACAGATTTTTCATTGAAGTTTGGTACAGGTTCAAGTAAACCTACATGAAAACGGAACGGCTGTGCCTACATTGTAACAAGAGCCTTAAATTGATATTTGCACGATGTAAATACATATCTGCAGCATAAAGTAAAATAATTATTTGGTAGCTAACTTACCAAGCATCAGACATCTTCAAGGACTGACAAGCACCAGGAGGAACTCATTCAATTCAAATGAAATATGACTTCAACTGAAACAGAGAAGGAAGAGAACCCAACTAAAATCCATGTAAATAAAAGGAGTTTGTTTTGCATGATATTTTAGTGATACAACTGTAAGTGCAACCGCTTAAAATGTTGTAAACACAAAAATGTGTATCGCGCGCACTGCGCAGAGTGTCTCGCGAGCTTTAGCCGTGCGCAAAACAGCGCAGGGTGACTTTTAAAAGTAATATAACGTGTTGAGTATGCAAAACATTAAACTCTCATAACGAACACAAATTATAGCAGTAAAGACTGTGTACAAAATGATATCGCTGCATATAAATAAGTTATTCAAACCATTGCCTCAGACTTTTTAGCATTTCATCATCAAATCTACCGGAATCTGACCAATGTTAGGAAGCCTGTGTATTTACCTCATATAGTAAAAAACGAACAAATTGCTTTTTGTTGCAGGGTCCTCTTCCCCAGTTTGAAGCCGAATTATTCATATTATATTTTAAGGAATACAAAAAACAAGTATGTGATTTAATTTTGGGGCTAACTTTGTAATGTTAGTTATTATTGTTATACCTAAATCACGTACATTGTCAGACGGTCCCTTAGCGGCTGTTGAATCATGGCCGTCTATGAACATGAAGACCGTTTGGGACTTAATCGAGAAATCTTTTACTGTATTTTATGTAACATTCAGACGATTTAAACGCGGAATTAATCAAGTATTTTAACGTCGCTTACTGTAGATATAGATAAGTAGTTGAATGAACTTGAAGCAGCGTTTTAAAATTAGTACTTTATTTTGACAGGTCACCATTTTTCTTGACACACAATAATGTACAGTTCGTCATCCAAAGGACTCCTGAGGTCTGAGGATTGTTCTGGAAGCAGCGGTAACTTCTGGATCCTGCAGGGACATGAGGTTGACAGTAACGTTAGTCTGTTAAATCTGGCAAGCGAGGAGGACGATGAAGTCCAGTTTGACAGTAAGCAGCTTTTCCTCCTGTTACTTAATGTGTCCTATGTTATGCAATGTTTACTGATCCTTGGTGGCTTGGCATGGTCATCCCACATTACCTGACACAATGACACAAGGATAACATGTCAAATTCTGAGTAGTGTACAAGTTAGTTTTAAAGAGCATACGGGGGCGTATTTATAGTAGTAAAGGCCACGTGATTACAATGACTATGAGCCCCCCTCCTCTTATTCATGATATATTTTATAGGATTTGACCATTGATGCTATCATAAAATATTTGCACAATTTTTATAAATAATTATTAATAGTGTGCAATTAATGATTAACCATGTAAAGGCAACAGCTAGAACAGTGTAAGATTTGTCAAAAAGTGCATTATTATATCGTAATGCAACCTTTAATAACAGAACAATACAACCTTTAATTTCAAAATCAAATATAAAATCTAGTGTCATATGATTAAAAACCTCCAAATTGGTAAAAGTATTGGACAACAAATATATACAATAATGTATGAAAAGCCTTAACAAAGTATGGTTATTTCCTAGTCATTAAAGAACGAAAAAATAGCCACAGAAGACTTAATTCTGCTATTTTCATGCACTACAAAACATATGAATTGACCTTTTTGTAAAAATGTGACCGAATGCCCCTTTACCCATAATCTTATACAAACTCGCATTTGTCAAATACATTTGCATGGGTCTAGTGACACTGTTAGGATGTAAGATCAAGACAAATAGATTTTGAGTTAAACAAGTAGTTCCTGCTTCAGAACAAGTTAGGACTTGCCCCTCCACACCTAGGACGGTCTGCTGAAGTGAGGATAATGAAAGTGTCAGTTCCAAAGGACCCCTCCTCCTCATTCTGGCACGGTGACCAAGTGTCTCAGCTTCGTCATGTGTTGACAGTCAGTGTGTGAGTACAGTAGGTGGAGGAAGCTAATGCCTGGACCACACAGATAAGCAGTACTGCCGTGCACACCCCCCTTATGTATGCACAAGATCAGCTCATTTCATGCCTTGGAAGTGAACAGGATAATCATGAGTACATCTTTAAGGGCTTAATATTGGAGTTTTCATACAGACAAAATGGACCTAGAAGACAGAGACCTTGTTGAGATGATAGCTAAATTTATCGAAGAAGGTAAGACTACCGAGAAAAAACATTGCGGGTATAGAAGTATTTCATTTTAGTGTGACTTCAAAAAGTTGTTTTGTGCCACAAAAAAAGAACTGAATCCTCGAAACACAGCAAATTATACTTCCTCTTTCCTCTTTGCCTGTCGCATCATCTTTTGTTTTTTATGCTCAGCTTCCGACACAGATAATAACCGAGAGGTCTTGATGGCTGGAAGACATTACCCGTCGGTCCAAGAGTTTGCCTCTGCGATCCCCAACCACCTCCTGCTGGGCTCTCTCCTGGAGCACCTGTGCTTCGTCTATGAGACCAACCCAGCGCGCTCACGTACGCTGTTTAAAGGTATGTACTGACATGTTGTACTGGAGTAAACATATTTATATTATACACGTTTGATTGTATTTACTTGTTTAAAATTTAATTTGTCTTTAGGTTGACTTACAAAATCTGTCCGGGGACTACAGATGGAAAAAAAAAGCCTCTTGGCTAACTCTGGCACATTTACAGAAATGTTGATTAATGTGCACTGTCCCTGTTGAATAAATGAATAAATAAAATAAATGTTGCTTCGAATGGCATGGCCAACGGTGTATGAATGTGTGAGAATGTTAGATTCCTTGAGCAAAAATGGCACATTGCTCTTTATGTTGAGGTGTGATTGGTGAAAGATGACATGCTCTGAGTGGTCATAAAGACTGGATACATAGGTGCAGTCCATTTACCATTCATACAGTTTGTTTGAAATACATGTTTACCATCCTGTCACTTCATCAGGCTGTGAGACGGGTCTTCAGATTTTTGTTAATATTCCTAATGATGTCATTTCTTTGTTTCCTCTCACAGTTATAGGCCAGCGTCTAGCCGCCCTGAACCTCCTCTCACCTTTAGCCATCAGCGATGAGTTCAGCACCGTCAGACTGCAGCACAACCGGGCCTTCACCGAGCTGCTGCACGCTGCCAGCTCCTCGCTGTATCCTCAGGTAACTGGACACATCCATAGGGATATTATAGTGTGTTGTCACTCTGTAATAATGTTGGACTTTACTTTTACCTAGAGTCGGTATTTGTGCTTGGTAGGAAATTGTCCATTAACTCAAAAACAAAAAAGTGGATGAATATTTAAGAAAATAGAAAACAAACGATTGAGAAATCCACTTGTAATTTAAATATTTTGTGTAGAAAATCCTTAGCTACATGTTGATACTATTTAGAAATAGGGTTCTTTGACTATCAGAACACTAGGACATGATATAGTAAAAGAAAAGGACTGTCTCTTCTACATTATCCTACAGCATATGAACCACACAAAACATTCTGCTATCACACTTTTTCCAACAAATGTACATCCCATAACGTTGCATACTGCTTTGTATTGATACATAGTGAAGGGATAATGTTATAGATTTTGGTTGCAGTGTTAATTCTCATCATTATCCTCAGTGTGGTTACTCTTGTTATGTCTTTCTGCAGGGCCAACAAGGTCTCGGGTCAAACACGCACAACCCTGCTGTAAGGTAAGTTGTACTTTTAGTAGTCTTGAATGTTGAGTTGCTAGATTAAAAAGTATTGCATAAGATATTTTTCTTTTCCTTTCCCACAGACCTAAGGAGGGACTGTTCCAAGCGCAGACATCCCGGTATCTTAGTGAATTTGAAGAAATGCTTCGGCTCGGAAAAGGATCATATGGAAATGTTTTTAAGGTATTCCACTTTATTCTAAACCATACTACTTTTATCCCATCCCTTTGAAGCAGAATATGACTTGATACAATGCTTTCTTTGATTTCATCTTGTAGGTTATGAACAAACTGGATGGACAATATTATGCTGTGAAGAAAATCCTCATCAAAAAAGTCTCAAAGGATGACTGCATGAAGGTGGGCCATACATCAGTGCTTTATCAGTCAAGCATTTTGACTCCCAGATATATCACAGAGTAATCATTTGGTTATTTCTTGTTGGCTTTAGGTCCTCAGAGAAGTCAAGATGTTGTCCAGCCTGCTGCATGGGAATGTTGTCGGCTATCACACTGCGTGGATGGAACATGTTCAGCCCGTAGCATGTGAGTATTTACTGCTGTTCTGTTTGTCTGAGAGTTCATATTCACTGAGTAAAGAATTACAGTTCTTCTCATAACAGAAGCTTTATCGTAACAAACATTTCTGTTGCAGATCCTGCGTCCCTGCTGCCTGCACTGGAGTCACCTGAACAAAACGACAGGTCTAAAATATGAACTGATCTTACATGAATTACCATTTTCTGTCATTTTTTAAGCCTGATGGAATAAATAATCAGATCGATGATAAGTTGTTGCCTTAAAACTTATACATTAGGTTTATTGATGAGTTTGTGCTATTTTAATTCGCAGTTTTAACTTGCTTTGACAGTACTCGAATGGATATTATAATACTAGTTTATGAGACCTTGTTTATACTGCTCGAGTTATTTTATTTAAAAATACTAACTTAACAAGTTGTTAGAAATGTACATACAAACGATCATTTTAGGGGTAAATTATTCCTTTAATAAAGTGTTTGATTATTCCTTTAAAGAAATAGCATGAATTACCCTTATTGGCAGAAATTACCTTGGCATGCGATATTTTGAATGTCAAAACTAAATCCAATGTCATGTCATGGTGATCCTTTATCATATTTTATTTTGTCCAATAACACTAAATCTATCTTTGCTCTTTCCTTCACAGCTCTGATCAGAGTTCTAA